TGGGCCGCAGCCGCCGGCGGACAAACCAGTTCCGGGTTCTGCCGGCGGAGAGTGCTGAGGGCGGGACGCGCCGCTGGACCCCGATTGAACTACGGAGTCCGCCACCTGCCTTTGTTCAAAACGCGAGCTTCTTTCCGGCCTCCGTAGCCCGTGTTGGCCCGAAGGGGAGAAGCTGCGGTAACACCCTAGTCTACCAGCAGAGGGGGCTCGAGCGAAGGGCGTCCAGGTTCCCGCGAAAAGAAAGCGGGTCGGCATTTTTACGGCTCTCGTTCCTTTTTAAGTGGAATTTTAAAAATTGAAATGAATTTTTCTGATAATACTTGACAGTTATAAAAATGCATGAAAACAAGAAAAGTGAAGTTTTATGTTAATAATACCAGTCCCTGAAGGGCACCCTGCTATCAATAGGAGCATATTATATATACTTTCATCCTTTTACTTTTTCAAAAAAAATTTTTGAGACAGGGTCTCGCTGTGTAGCTGAGGCTGGCCCCGAACCGGTGGTGATCCTCCTGCCTCAGCCTCCAGAGCTGAGATTACAAGGGTGTGTCACCATGTCCGGCTACCTTCATCGATTATTATAATGCTTTATCATCATCATCATTATTATTATCACGGAGCAGAGTGTGATCCTGTGAATGAGGTTCGTGAAATAAAACCACTCAATATCAGTAAAGAAAAAGATTGTACAAGGCTCCACATGATCCTAAAATCTCACAATCCTGAGATTCAGATTTCTCAAGAGCCCTTTGTAGACGTGCATTTCCCCTCCACGTCCTGTTCTGAAGATTGTTGAGCCTACAGAAATGTTGAAAGATTTGTTGTTACTATTATGCAACGAATGGTCTGTATCTGTGTCCGCCCTGCTGCAAGACCAGTCTTGAACTTCTGGGCTCAGACAATCCTGCCTCAGTCTCCCAAAGCTGGAAATATGAACACAGATTCATAGGTACTGCCTGACCCGGCTTGCTGCTTCCCTGCCCCACAACCAGAATACAACCCAGGTTTACGTACTGCACTTAGTTCTGCTGTCACTTATGTTATGTCAAGACCTGCATCTTTTTGTTTTGTTTTATTTTGTTAAGGGAATCAAACCCAGGGCTTCACGCTGGCCAGGCAGACGCTGTGCCACTGAGCTACATCCCCGGTCCAGAGCTGCAAATTAATAGTGTCCTGTTTTGAACGGAAGTTTGAATTCTGCACTTTACTAAACGTTTGCTTTGTTTTGTTTTGTTTTTGTTTGTTTGTTTGTTTTTTGAGACAGGGTCTCACTATGTAGTTGAGACTGACCTAGAACTCACTATATAGCCCAGGCTGGTCTGGAACTCACAGCGATCCTCCTGCCTCAGCCTCCAGAGTGCTGGGACTACAGGCACGCGCCACCACGCCCAGACCTTTTGCTATTTATTTACTGCACTTTATTTACATTCTCTGGAACTCACTCACCTTCATCTGTAAAAATGAAACCATTACTTCCCACTTCCTCAGAGATTTTTGTTTAAATAATTGTAATGGTACTCATTCAGTGCTGCTGACAAAGTACTCAGCAAGCCAGGTGTGGTGGTGCTTGCCTCTAAGCTCACTCTGGGAGGCTGAGACAGGAGGATCCCAATTTAGAGCCCAGCCTGGGCAATTGAGGGACTCTGCAATAACTTGTCTCAAAATAAAGGGGTGGAGGGAGCTGGGGATTTAGCTCAGTGGTTTCGCTGCCTACCTTGCTGAGCAAGGTCCAGAGTTCTATACCTGGTACCACCCAAAAAATGTGTCAGCATTTATGGAGGCAGTATTAGCACACAGTCCATGGTTTAATAATGCAATACAATGTTACTTTGCAGGTGGAAAGGTTTCAAAATAAAGTTTTTTGAGGAAAAGGGTAACGGTGTACTTGGTAGTCTAAAGGGCTGGCTTACACTTTCAGGTACAAAGAATTGTGTTCACCCAGTATAGACACAGCGGTGTGCAGAGACAGAAGCCCGATCTTCCGCAAGGAACTTGGAGCAGTGTGGGGGTCAGGCTAGGAGTGACCTTCACGAATGACCCAGGAGTGCTGTCTGGAATCGAGGTGACCTTTAGGAAGAAGAGGCGTCTGAGCCCGTCGGTCTGACCACGTTGTTTGGGCCTAGCCTTGCTCCATTTGCTGCTGCTTGGTGTTCTGTGCATCTAGCTCCTGAGTTAGAAATAAAGGCGAATACGCCATGGTTCCTAAAGGCATGGGCTGACGTTAGGAAACGGAGCCGAAGCAGCACGGTGCGGGCGCGGCTCTGCACGGCCTGTGCCTGGCGGCTGCAGGGTTCCATGCCCGCCCCTCGTGCGACAGGCGTGCCCTGGGGAAGAGGAAGGGAGGGTACAGTTCTGTGGGGCTCCGCGGGACGGAGAGAAAGGAAATCTTATTAAAATCCCAGCCCACATAGAATGCTCCTGTTGTTCAAGTAGATAGATGAGACGGGCAGACAGATCGGATTTTTCTTTCCTTGCTGAGGATGGAACCCAGGGCCTTGAGCATGAGAAGCGTGTGTTCTGCAGCTGAGCTGCTCCCCAGCTCCGTTAAAGCCGTTTAGATCCCCACAACGCTGTAAGGAAATTGTCTCTACAAGAGGATCCACCCCTTCTTTTTTGCCAGAGTGAAGATGTTTTGGTGAAAGTTGTCATCTTTGTTTAACCACGAGGAGAGGGATGGAAAGCGAGGTAGAGAACTGGGCTTTTTTTTTCTGCTTTTTGAGACAGGGTCTCTCTGTGTAGCGCAGGCTGGCCTTGAACTCACAGTTTTTGTGTCTTTCAGAGAAAGCGCTGTGTACCACAAAAAGCGTTGTCAACAAAGGGTGACAAAGGTCTCTGTTAAGGGTCGCACAGGCCTAGGAACTTTCCCTCTAGCAGCTCCTCCCTCCCTCATTATTGTTTTGTTTTTCTTCTACAGTTCTTGTGATCTCAAGTCCTGACATTTACAGTTTTTGAAGGCAGAGGCAGATTTTTATTTTCATTTCACTGACTAATTTAGGAGTGAAAGAACAAGTTTGCTAAAATTTCCAAAAATGATTGATCTTTGGATAGATACCAAATATATGAAGTACCAGAGCAAAACCAAGACTTATTTAAAAGTTTTAAGGAAAACACAGAAACTCAGCATGAAAATTAATTTTGTCACCTTCACAAAAATCAGGTGGTCTCCTGAGAGTTAGAGCTCAGCTCAGCTGACCACGGCTCTTTCCCGATTCCATTTTAGTGCAGTCCCGGCTCGAGCAACCAGCTGGGCCGGCGTGCAGCATTTCCATGGGAGGTTTCTTCCGTCAGAAATAGTCAGGCACGGTGGTGCAGCCTGCAATCCTAGGCATTCAGGGCCTGAGGGAGAAGGTCTCATTTCAGCCCATTCTGGACAACAGAGCAAGATTCTTAGCCTCTCCCGGCTCAAAAAAGAAAAAGGGACAAAGGAGGGAGAGACAGACAGACAGAGCATAATCCCAGCATTCAGGGGGCTGAGGCAGGAGGACTGTTTCGAGTTCAAGGCCAGCATGCACTCCACAGGGCATTCAAGGCCAGCCTGATCTACACAGCCAGACCCTGTCTCCAAAAAAAAAAGAAAGAAAGACAGAGAGAGAATCAAGAATCAAGCCGGGGATTTAGCTCAGCAGTTCTGCCATCTGCCTCGCAAGTGCTAGGACCTGAGTTCGATCCCCAGTACCAAAAAATAAAAAAAAAAAAAAAAAAAAAAAAAAAGAATCAAGAATCAGATCCCTAATCAGATCCCTAATGCCCATCCTCCTAAAGTAAAAGGGTTTTTACATTTCATACAAAGAATGGGGATAGGTCTCTATGCACTGGTCTACATGTGCAGCTGAGAGATATAGGTAAGTAAAACAAATTCACTTTCCATTTATAGGGGAACATTTATTCAGATATTTGGTTATTTGTTTATTTATTTGTGTTTTGAAGCAGGGTCTCAGTACACAGTTCAGAGTGGTTTGTCTTTGAACTCACTATTTAGCCTGGGCTGGCCCCAAACTCATACTGATCCCTCCTGCCTCAGCCTCCTGAGTGCTGGGATTATAGGCATAAGTCACCACCACATTTGTAAGGGTTTTGTATTCTTATAAAAATAACCCACAAGAATATATAAAAACCTTTAGTGGTTACATCTTCTGAATAGGGACTGGAAATATAGAAAAATGCTGGAGACTCTTGTAGTCAGGTTCCAGTCCCCACTTGCCCAGTATTCGATGCAGGCCTGAGGAAAAAAAAAAAATAAATAAATAAATAAAAATAAAAACAAAAACAAAACACTAAGAGACAGAACGAGGAGAGAGAAAGCAGGGTGCCAGGATGACCAATGCCAGTGCAACCAACAAAGGCGCTGGCCAGTCCCAGGCACTTTTATTGGCAATCAGTTGGGGTAAAGGCAACGTGTGGTTTCTATGGAAATTAATTTAAACCAGGCTCATAAAGGACAACACAAAGCATTCTCAAATTAAGAACAGAATAGACAAAATACATGCTTGTAATTAGTACTTTGTCCTTGTCTGAAGGTTTTAGCTGTGGGAATGAATTTGGGTGCGAGTTACTCTGACCTCTGCACGTACGCTTTGGCCAGACTCACGTCTATGAACAAGTCAATCGTGGGGTTAACTCTTCACAGCCTGCCTCCGGCATAATCAGTATTACAGCCCTCTGCAGAAAAATATTTTCATTCGTTTAAATTTTCTGCATTCTAAAATTTTTACCACATGTGACTTTTGATGCGTATTTTGTTTTTGTTTTTGAGACAGGGTCTCACTATGTAGTCGAGACTGACCTAGAACTCACTATGTAGCCCAGGTTGGGCTCAAACTCACAGCGATCCTCCTGCCTCAGCCTCCCCAGTGCTGGGATTACAGGCGTGCGCCACCACACCCGGCTGAAGCAAATTTTCTTATTTTTAATTATGCACATAACTCAGGATTGCACAGGAAGCAGTGTGATGTGCGTATATTCCAGATTGTTTTTCCTGTGTACTCTAACAACACATATCACATAGGCTCGGGGTTTAGCTCAGTGGCACCGAGACTGCTTCGCAAGCTCAAGGTCCTGAGTTCAATTACTGGTACCAAACAAATAGACGAACAAAACGAACAAACCCCCTTCCCCTCATGTACCACATAGCAGGGTTTTCTTTTTTTTAGAAAAGCTTTTCAGTAAGTTGTCCAGGCTGGCCTGGAATTCTCTATCCTCCTGCTTCGTCCTCCTAAGAGCTAGGATTACAGATGTGCAGCACCACACCTAGCTTCACATTAATATATTTGTTTTTTTCTAATACACACACACACACACACACACACACACACACACACACACACATTTTTTGGTACCAGGGATCGAACTCAGGACCTTGTGCTTGCAAAGCAGGCAGCGGCACCACTGAGCTAAACCCCCGGCCCAAACTTTTTCTACTACATGTATAAATCTTGTTTTAAACTGGTCAATAGTATTCGCGAGCGCACGTGCGTGCGTGCGTGCGTGTGCGTGTTCAGGCGCAAGTTTACGGAAGCGAGCCGTGGCTAGGAGGCGGGGCCTTGTCGCTGGGGGCGTGGCCTGGAATCCCCGGCTTCTCCCAGAGTGTGCAAGCTTCCGGTGAGCAGCTTTTCCTGCCCCGTCCTTCCACCCTAAGGTTCCAGCCCCTGAGCCTGCTGAACATGGATGGAAACTTCTTTATTTTTAAAGTAAATTTTATTTTATTTTATCCCATTTCCCCCCTCAAACCCCTTACCTTTCTGAGTACGAAAGCTTGGTTTCCAGTTTTCCTTCTGTTTTTACTTTTTTCTTGTCCCGTCCTTCCTTTCTGCCTCCCTCCTCCCTTGTTTCTCTTCCCATTTGAACACTTTTTTTCCATTTCCCAGCATCCACGATACATCTTAATCCTTATTTCCACATTTAGTTTCTCACAAGAAAGAAACAATGTGGTATTTAAACGTGTGTCTGATGTATTTCACTTAAGAGTATGGTCTCAAGGTCCAATGGATGGAAATCTTGTTGTTTTGTCTCGTGTTTTTTTTCCAGGTATGGGGAATGAACTCAGCACCTTGTGCCTTGAAGGCAGGTCCAGCGCCAGTGAGCTACCTCCCTGGCTTTCAGTGGATGGAAACTTCTGAAATATGAGCCAGAATAGACTTCTCTCTCTCTCCTGTAAGGTGCAGGTGTCAGGTGTTTTGTCCTGGCAACAAGGAAAGTGAAAGAGACAGTGGTCCTGGGGGCGGGGTGGACCAGAACTTGTTCATGGTGGGCCGGTCTCTTCCACCCAGTCACTGCCTTCTGATTAGGGAGTCTCAAGTACTACAGAACTAGCTGCTTTCAGTTCCTTGACGTTTCCCATACTGCTGTACTGAACTTGCTACTTCTTTCTGTGCACACTGGTGCATACGTGGATGTATTTATTGGAATAGGGTCATTATTATACAATTAAAGTATTTTGAACAAAATCATGCTCGGGCACGGTGGCACCTGCCTGTAACCCCAGCACTCTGGAGGCTGAGGCAGCAGGATCGTCTTGAGTCTGAGACCAGCCAGGGCTACAAAGTGGAAAAAAAAAAAACCAAAAAGAAACAAAGAAACAAAAACACCAGAGCATTTCAAAACACGCTGCTGGTGCCTCAAAAACGCCAGCAAAGCAAAACAAAAGAAATAAAAACAAACAAACAAAAAATCATGCTTTGGAAAGTTACTGGGAAAAGTTCTTTGAAAATAAACACTATAAATATGATATATACTTAAAAATTGGCCCGGGATTTAGCTCAGTGGTTCCAGCACCTGCCTCGAAAGCACAAGGACCCAAGTTCGATCCCTGGTACCAAATAAATAAACATTAAGTTTTCTCCCCAGAAGTTATTGGAAAGTAGCCAAAACAAAACGGAAAGGGGGGGGGGTGGCTGTGTGACTTAAACACCAGTGTCATAGCACACATCTTAGCGCCCGGTCTGCTTCTAAATCATACACATTGAATAAAACTTGGGATGGAAAACGCTAAGCAGGGAAATTACATTGGCCATATTCGTATGACGTGGCCCATATTCGTATGAAGAGAAAATCACAAGTGTAGGGGAGGATGTTAAAAACACCCAAAGCCGGGCGTGGTGGTGCACGCCTGTAACCCCAGCACTTGGGAGACTGAGGCAGGAGGGTCACAAGTTCGAGGCCAGTCTGGGCCACACAGTGAGACCCTGCCGCTCACATAGACCCACACCAGCAAGGCCGTCCCGAGAGTGGCGAGTGTGAGCGAGTAGCCAGCCCACATCCGGCTCCCGCGGCCTCGATGGGGCCGTCAGCTAGGCGTGGTGCCGGGCTTCCGACCGTTTTACCAGTTTTAGAAACCCTTTGCTTTGGGCAAGTCTTCCTGCGTCTGCCTGTCTTCCACCCAAGGCCGGGTGCTGCTGAGGAAAGAGCCTTGAGGTTCGCAATTCTAGCGTCGCATTCGTTGTCCTGGAGTGGACAGCACAGACGACCAGGGGACTTGGCCCAGCCTCCCCACCAGGCGCAGGGGCAGGCGCACAGGGGAACCCGGCTTCCTTCCTGTCCCCATGGTGACCGCGGGGGGGGGGCTGCACAGCGTAGCTAAGTGTTTAATAAATGCTTTTTGATTAAGTTGAGCAGCGTCATAGCAGGTGGAAAGCACTCCGTGCAATCACCCTGATTAGATATTTTCCCTTGGCAGGAGTTCAGATGGCGGCTCTGCTAAATCCACAGCGTTGTTTTGGGAAATCGTATAAGACTTCAAATCGCCTCTCCGCGACACCTGTCTCACGCCTGTGTGGGTGCTCTGGGACAGTCACATGTCCAGAATCTGAGCGTCTGCCTTTACTCCGTGATTTTAAATTTTTTTTACTAGTTTTTTTTTTTTTTTTGAGACAGGGTCTATGTAGTTCAGGCTGGCCTTGAACATACTAAGTAGCCTAGAACTCACAGCGATCGTCATGCCTCAGCCTCCTGAATGCTGGGATGACGGGTGTGCATCACCGCACCCAGCCAGTGATACAGTTAGCCACGTGCCTGTGATTCCAGCACAATGGAAGGCTGAGGCAGGAGGGTTGCGAATTCAAGTCCCACCTTGGCAACTTAGTGAGACTGCAGCTCAAAACTGTAAAGAGAGGTGGGGATATAGTTCAGTGGCACCCAGTACCATAAATAAGTAATAACAGTAACGACAATACAGGAAAACATAGCCTGTGCCCTGCTGTAGTCAAAGGTGCCAGCGTGTGGTCCTACAGCATCTAGGTGCGAAGCTGCAAAGGAAGTTAGGAGAGTCTGACTGGAAATGAGAAGAGGGTTTGGGGAGGCGTCCCGAGTGGGCGGCGGAGGCCCTTTCTCTGAGGCAGACACCAGTCACGCCATGGTCACAAGCAGCGCACCGAGCTGATCCCGCCCGCAGGAGACCAGGCGGGGCGCGGGGGCGGAAGGCCGAGGCCTCAGGGTTGCCTCCGATTCGCCTCACCCCAGCCGCCTCCTTCCCTCCCACGCTCGCCTCCGGGCCCTCCCGGCCTGCGCACGGATTCCTCCCCGAAGTAGCTGGCTTCCCGGACACAGCCAGGCCTAGGGCCAAGGCCAGGCCGACCCTGACTGAGAGCTTCCCGGGCCGGGCGGCTTCCGACCAAGCGTCCCGCGGTCACCCGGCGCTGCCCCTCGAGGCTCGGCGGCCGTGAGCAGGTGTACTGAGCATGTAATCAATAGGTAGAAACTAATAGAATCAATAAGCAAAAAGTGCCCTGTGTGACTAGCAGCAAACAGCTTAGCTGACAGCTTAGCTAGCTAACAGCTATGACCTAATGCAACTGACAGCTGGAGATAAGAAATACTTGCCTTGCTGTCCTAGACCGTCAGCTGTTAGCTAAGCCCGCCTTGCGACCGTCTGCTTCCTTATCTCCCGCCTTGCGACCATATGCTAAAGGGAAACTCCAAAACATTCTCCACCCTACGACCACCTGCTATTGACCGGAGTACCTGGCCCGAGCGATAAGGAATAGCTAGGGGTATAAATACCCCTAGCCCAAGACCAGTCGTCGTCGTCCATCCCGACCCGACCTGACCGCCATTCGTCGCTGCGTCACGCGACTTGACCGACTGCTGCCGGAGGCCCTGCTGGAACCGGAGCTGATCGTCACGTTGCAGTTCGAATCTCTGCCCGACAGCCCGGCGCTCGGTGTCACGGACTCAGGTCGTATAACCCTGTTACAGCTTATGCCTCAGTATGGCATCTGTCTCGATACTGAGGGGAAGGACTAGAATGCTCTCCTGATTGTGGTTGTGATATTTGCTTTGATATTGCTTTGCATTGCTTGTGTGACAATAAAACCCCTTTAAAGACATATCACTTGTAGTTTTCATTACCTCGGGGCGAGTGAGACGTTTAAGCGCTCACAGCCTGGGATCCGACTCCTGTTCGTGCTCGCGACAGCAGGTTCACTTGGGGGCCGTGGATCCGGAGCACCGGCTGAAGACGGAGAGTGTGGGGTCACCTTCACCCCTTTCCTGTCCTTGCCAACAAACTGGAACTCCCCTACTCCTACACCCTCAGTAATTAATTAATTCGGGTTGTGTGTTGTCACGCGCCATTATTTCCGGGTTCTTCATGCCCTACATGAATTCCGGGTTTGAGTCCGCCGGTGACGGTGGTTTGCGCTTGCGCAGATGAGGCGCTTGGCTCGTCAGAATGATGCAGGCTGGCATTGACCAATAGAAACAGGCCACGACGCCCGGGTGAATATAAAGGCAGGCTTGCATCCGGCTCGGGGTCTTTCCGCCATTGAAGATTGTAGAAGAAACTCCAATAAAGCGTGCATCAGAAGAATCCTGAGTGTTGCGTGCTCCTTGCTGGCGAGGTGCGCGCATGTGCGCGCGTTTTTTGTTGTTTGTTTGTTTGTTTTTGGGACAGTGTCTCCCTCTGTAGTTCAGGCCGGTCTTAAACTCACCGTGTGCTCCTGGCTGGCCTCAAACTCGAAGCGATCCTCTTGACTCAGCTTCCCAGGCGCTGGAATTACAAGGCCTAGGAGTGATCTCTCTCTCTCCCTCCCTCCCTCTCTTCCCCTCTGTGCCCCCCTCCTCTCCTTGGCCTTTGCCCTCAGCTACATCCCCAGTCCCATATTTTGACACAGGGTCTCACTAAAGTCACTAAATTGCCCAGGCTGGGCTCCACCTTGTGGTCCTCCTGTCTCAGCCTCTCCTGGCTGAGAAATGGTTCGTGGTATGAAAAAAATTGAACCTGTTACCTACCCTTCCTCCATCTCTTTCTCTCCTCGCCAAGTACCTTAAGCCACTCCAGTGGTTGCTCCTAACTAGGCTGGGGCAGCCCAGAGCGCCGTCCCAGTGGTTGGAGGGAGGGGAAACTGTGGCAATATCTAAGGAAGCTGACCGGTGTCGCAAGACCTGAGCAATCAGTTTGCTCAAACCTCACCTGCCGTTAGAGGTGCAGTTCCCCGAAGTCCCACTAGGAGGCGTTGCTCCTCTGTCAATCATGGAGGCTGCGTTGGCAGACTTGCGTTCTGGTGCAAGGGAAATATCCGGCGCTTCTAAGCACGAAGATAGAGGCTGGTGTTTCCCTTTAGCGCTGTTTGCAAAGTCTTTTTAGTGAAGCGAATTATTTGAATAGCACTTCGTATGTGTTAGGCAGTGTGCTAGGAGGTAGATATACCTAAATAGCCAAAAAATTATAAAGTGTTAGACTTCAGGTAAAAGTGTCAGTGTGCACCTGTGAGCTACTCAGGAGGCTGAAGCAGGAGGATCGCTTGAGCTCTGATTTTGAGGCCAGCCTGCTGGGTAATACAGAGGGTGATCTGACCCAAAATGCCCCAACTAAAGCTTTTTTTTTTTTTTTTTTTTTTGTAGTACTGGTGATTGAACCTAGGGGTTCACACAAGCTAAACAAGTGCACACTACCACTGAGCTAAACCCCCAGACCTTTAAATTAATTGTTTTTTGAGATAGGGTGTCAATATGTAGTTCAGGCTGGCTTTGCACGCATACTAAGGTTAGTAGGTTGGCTACTAGAATTCAGAATAAGCATTGACTTATTGGCCAAAATATTGATCCTCCTGCCTCAGCCTCCTGAGTGCTGGGATAAAAGTGTGCACCACCATGCCTGGCTGCAATTCAATTCTTTAAATTGCATTTAGACTGACATAGGCCGGTGATCCTCCTCCCTCGGCTTCCTGAGTAGCTGAAATTATAGGCATTGTCACCCACCTGGCCCAGTTGCTCTTTTCCACAACCATTTTCTTCAATATTGCCTTTATATAAATCTTAGATGATTGAGATTTGTTTTACTTTTTTGAAACAGGGTCTCGTTCTGTAATTCAGGCCTGGAACTCACTATGTAGCCCAGGCTGGCCTCGAACTCACGGCAATCCTCCTGCCTCAGCCTCCCAAATGCTGGGCTTACAGGTGTACACCAGGATTGAGAAGTGGAACAGGAAGCAGTATAAATCACTTCACTGCAGAACTTGAATGTTGGGGCATTCTAATTTCTCAGCAGATATGACATTAACAGGAGTGTGTAAATTTCACATGTTTCCTTGCCTGCTCTGGGGAAAGGAATGACCTTTTGCCTGGAGCATCCCAGCGCCTTAAAACAGTAGCACTGCCGGATGTGGTCTCTGCTTCCGGTTGTCTTCAGCCTGAAAGAAGGTTAAAGACAACATGAGAGTTTTCCACAGGCGAATCCGAGTGATTATTCCAACACCTCCCTTTCCCAAGGCTCTCCATCCTGTACTGGGGTGCTTCACAGTCTTGGGGTATCCGGTGGTGCCTGGTTATGGAGATCTTAGCAATTTGGACGACTTTTTCAAGTCACCCTGTTAACCAAAGAGCAGCGATGGTACCCACCAGAAGCCACGCTGTTTGGACTGTGGGTATTGTAAATGTTCTCTTTCGCTTCAGCTGTTTATGCAACAGCTTTTAAGATTTCCTGCCATCTGCTTCTAAAAGAGGAAGAAAAGGGAAATGATTTGCAAGTATGTGAAACACAGCGTTATATTTAGAATTGGGTTTGATCTCACTTTTCCGCAATGTCTTGGGGCTGAGAAAGCAGGCCAGGCCCGGGGATCCGTGCTCCCGGGGGAGCGTCCGTGAGCTGCTGCTGTCTGCGGGGGTCACACGGTTCGGTCCGGTTAGGTCTGGTTCGGTCCGGTCGGCAGCTGGTTTCTCCTTGGTCTTGTTCTCGGCTTGGGGACTTCCGTCTGCGGAGCCAGCACCCGTGCCCGTAAGGACCCCGGTTCTGTCGGCCGAGGCCCCACCCTGAAGACCCTGTTTTCGTCAGAAACCTCCTTCAAAACCGACTCCCACGTACAGTTGCATCTGGAGGCGCGGGGGCTGAGGGGTTGAACGCGTGATTTTTAGAAACTTCAAAAGTTTTGTCAGTCCACGTTTGCAGCGCGCAATGATCCCAGTGATCGTGGGGAGTCGGTGCGTGGACGCGACGCCCCGCAGTTCTTCCCCACCCCTTTTCCCTCCCCGTGCCCTCCTCCTCTGGCTGTCTCCTCCCGTTTTCCTGTTTTCTGTCATCTTCCTTTATTTGGCTCCTTATCGTGTTTATACTTTGGGTTTCTCGCGTAAGGAGAAGCCATGTGATATCCAAGCTTGTGGGTTCATCATGGGAGCTTTGGAGAGGTGCAGCGGGGCCCGCAGCCGGGAGGAGGAAGGGAGCGAGGGCTCCTGTTCTCACGGAAGGCCCATCTCAGGGAGGCCGAGGCGCAGAGACGCAGGCAGGCCGGGGACTCGCTGAGATGAACCCCAGAGCAGCGGGTCTGAAGGGGGAGCTGAGAGCCGCACGCAGGCCAGCGAGCAGCAGGAGCAGAGACAGGGCCGGGGCACAGGCTGAGGGAGGAAGGGGAGGCAAAGAGCACGCCTGGGCTTAGGAGGTAACTTAAAAGGGCCCAGAAAGGAAAAGAACAGACTAACGAAGCGGGAAATATGACTGGAAAACAGAACAGTGAGATTTCCCTGGGACCTTACTGTGTAGGGGCCGCTGTATACAGACAGTTTAAGGACGGCAGACGACATGGTTCTGATGTTCCAGTTAGGAAGCCCAGCCAGACCTGACGGCCCACGCCTATAATCCCAGCACTCTGGGAGCTGAGGCAAGGGCATCCCAAGTTCAAGCCCAGTCTGGGCAATTTAGCAAGACCCTGCCTGAAAGATTTAAAAAGGGCTGGAAGGGCTGGGGATGTAGCTCAGCGGTGCAGCACCTGCCTGACAAGTGCGAGGTCCTGGGTTCAGTTCCCGGTACTGAGAAAATGAAAGCGGGTGGTGGTGGCTGGGGATGTAGCTCAGTGGAAAGGTTCATCGTCCACTGGTGCCAAAAAAGGAAAAGGAAAGAAGAAATCGGAGGCAGGCAGAGGTCATGTAGATTGTTCAAGGTCATGCCAGGCAGGGCAGCCAGGAGGTAACGTCGGGTGCAACAACCCAGAGTACGCAGGGAGACAGATGGAGAGGGAGCAGGGATGGGGTTGAAGGAGGGTTGAGGAGAGACAAGAAGACCTTTGAGAAGTGCATTCCAGACCAGTAAGGACTCTGTCTGTCTTGTTTTAGTTTGGTTTTTGGTTTTCTGAGACAAAATTTCATGTGTCACCCAGGCTGGTCTCAAACTCGCAGCAATCCTCCTGCCTCAGCCTCCCAAATGGTGGGATTACAGGTGTGCACCACTGTACCCAACAAGAGAATATTTAAAGTCAAAGAGGAAGAGGGCCCTGGAGGAAACCTTAGGACTGAACAGAAAACAAAAGATGTGACAAGGAACTGCAGTGTCAGAGATACCAGAGTGAAGTAAATCAGCCAAGTAAGAGAGTTTCGAACGGGATTGAGCTGAGTGGTTCCGCTGCCTGCCTCGAAAGTGCAAGGACCCGAGTTCGAGCCCAGGTACCAAAAAAAGAAAAAGAGTTTCAAGAGAGGCTTGTTCTACACTGTTCGGGGCTGCTGCACTTCGTGAAATTTTCAGTAGCTCAGGTTTGCCATACATACTGATCTCATTGCCGCCCGGGAATTGGCGCACACACGTCACACAGTTTATTATTTGCGTCCCCTCTCTGCGTCCTGCTGCTGCTGCTGCTGCAGTTGGATCAGAAGCTCCGGGCCCCGTCTGTTGTGATTCTCGCGAGAAGAAAGCATGGGTGGCCTTGACGGAAGCCTCTGTGCCCTGTGGGAGGGGAAAGTGTGTCCCTGACGGAGGACTGGGCCATGGAGCGGCCCCGAGGGTTTAGGGAGCCAGTTGTGAGGGGTGACAGATGGGACGAGGCGCAGCAGGGTCGTGTTGTTATTTTAAGAAGAAAGCTATGCAGGTTACCCTCCTGCTGCAGGACAGAATGGACAGGGAGAGAGAGGCTGAGGGCACAGAAAAGGGAGGAGCCACCGATAAAGGCCCTGGAGGCAGGGAGGGCTCGACGGAGAGGCAGAGACAGAGACTGAGCTAGGAAGAAGGAGCTGGAGAAGGAGAGGAAGAAGGAGGAAGCCGCAGTCCGGAGCCCCCAACCCTTTCCTCCGTTCCCACCAGGCCCAGGAAGCTTGCGGGGTTCCAGTCCTGCGCCAGCCCTGGGGGCTGCAGCGGCTCCAAGTGCAGCGGCGCCAGCACGCGCAGAGCTGGTTTGGTTTGGTTTGGTTTGGTTGCTGTAGCAGAGATGAGACCCAGGCCCTGGGCTTGGCAGGCACCTTGCCACTGAGCTACACTCCGGCCCCTTTGCGTTTTACTTTGATGCAGGGTCCCACGAACTGCCCTGGCTGGCTGGCTTCAATCCCGCCTCAGCCACCCAGCTAGCTGGGATTGCAGTTATAGGTCACCATGCCTGGCTGGATGGTTGTTCTTTTAAAGACCCCAAGTTTTGGGTAGCTAGTTACAGTAGGAACTGAAACATCTAGACAGAATTATGCTTTCAGTATCTAAGTTGCTAAAGCAGCCTTTTTGCAGGTCATAGTTACAACCGCAGTAAAAACGCACAGGAAACAATGACTAGAGGGCTTTGAGGAATGAACGGAATGGCCGATTTTTGGAGAAGAGTAAAACTTAGAGGAAGGGACAAGGCTGAAGTAAATTTCCTCTTTGTTTGCAGCCACAGTCGTTTCCCCAAATTGAGAGACCCGATCCAAAAATGGGCATCCGAAATGAACAGACACTTCCCAGGTGAGGAAGTAGAAGAGGCAAACAAATATATGAAAACGCATTCAACACGCCTGGTTTTTTGACAGATGCAAATTAAAACGATGCTGAGATTCCACCTCACTCCAGAAAGAATGGCTGCTATCAAGAAATCAACCAATCACAAATGCTGGTGGGGCTGTGGGGACAAAGGAAGGTAGACTGGTGCCAGTCTACTGAAACCGTGTGGAGATTCTTCAGGAAAACCTAAAACTAGAGGTTTCATTCAAACCAGTCCTTCTTGGTATCTTCCCAAAAGAATCGAAGGCATCATACCACAGCAATATAATTGTTCCCATGCTTATAGCAGTGCAATTAGTAATAGCTAAATTGGCTTGTTGTTTTGTTTGCGTTTATTTTTTTGTACTGGGGATTGAACTCAGGACCTTGTGCTTGCGAGCCAGGCAGCGGCACCATTGAGCTAAATCTCTGGCCCTGAAATAGCTAAATTTTGGAAACAGCCCAAATGCCCATCCATTGACGAATAGATAAAGAAGATGTGTTTTTAAAAATACAACAGAGTACTACTCTGCCATAAAGAAGGATAAGTGTGAGACATTTCTTGCCAGATACACCTTGAGACCACACTCTTAAGTGAAACAAATTGGACACGCATATTTAAGTACCACATTGTTTCTCTGGTGTAAGAAACCGAAAGTGGAAATAAGGACCAAAATGTATAACAGATATTGGGAAATGGGAAGAAAATGTTCAAATGAGAAGGGGAACAAGGGAGAGGGAGAGGGGAAAGGAAAGAAGGGACGAGAAAAGGAATAGAGGGAAAAAATGGAAACAAAGCTTTTGTAAATAAGGAGGGGAAGAGGGGTCCAAAGGGAAGGGAGGGAGAAAAAGAAGAAGCAGGAAATATTATGTAGAGGTGCCAATTCCCCGTGATGAATGTTGTTATTATGCATATCGAGAATGTACCAATAGAAGTTTAATAAATAAATAGCCACCCGGCTAAAAATAAGAAACCCAACAGAGGAATCATGACAAACAGGCAGCTACAGTTTGTGGGGATGAGAGGAAGAAGGCAAGGGAGGGCAGGGGAAGCAGAAAGGCCACGAAGCTCCGGGTGATGTATCCGCTCCCACGGTGAATGCGACAGCGCGGGTCCCAGATGTGTACGAAGACACGCGGGGATTCGAATCACGTGCTTCGAAAGGTTGTTGTGGAGAGCAATTAGAGAAACGTAAGTTAGGTGTCAGTCATTTTGTAAACTCTGTTAATTAGATCCTAGACGCTAAATTTAGTAGAGCCTAGTAAACGACCTTGGTTAAGAAGATTTGAGCCTTTTTGCGTGAAGAAAGGTAGGACTGTAAAGTCGTAGGCCGCATTTTTCTCAGACAATCCGACGTGCTACAATTTGTGTGTGTTTGTGTATTTCCCGTTACAGTTCCAACCTTGACAATATTAGCTTCTTCTCTCTTTCCATCCATATTTTAAAAACTAACATAAACCGCTGAGCACAAAAAAAGCACATTAAAGACAAATTTTACCATGTTTGATCTATAAACATATTTAACATGAGATTTTTTTTTGATGAGGCAAAATGTCAAGACATTCATTGATATTTCTAGAGGATATTTACTTCTTTAACATGGAGATTTATCATGAGGGCTAAAAATGCAGGCGTATACTATAAATAACTACTGTTATTTATAGTTTTAGCCCAAGCAGCAGTTACCTGCCATTTTATTTCACCCCAAAATAAAGGGACAGGAATCTGAGAAATTTTGCCTGTGCTCCCAGCACTCAAGAGGCTAAGGCAGGAGGATGGAGGCCAGCCTGGGCTCCATGTGGCGAATTCAAGGCCAGCCTGATGTACATAACGAGACCCTGCGGTTTTTTTTAAAGAAAAAAAAATGGCACACCATACCCAGACATGGTGGCACACATCTGTAATGCCAGCTACTCTGGAGGCTGAGGCAGGAAGATCATCAGTTCAAGGCTATCCTGGGCAATTTGGCAAGACCCTGTCTTGAAATTTTTTAAAACAAGGTGTAGCTCAGTGATAAAGTGCTTACCTAGGACGCCCAAGGCCCTGTACTAGCAGGAGAAGGGTGGAGAGGGAAAGGCAGGAGAGGACAGGAGAAAAAGGCATACATTTCCCCTCACTGAACTGAAACTAACCTCGGGGGAAACATATTTAAAATTTCTATCACAATTTCTATCTTGATGTTAATTCATTAAATCCTTGTCTGAGAGCAAAGGAAGAGAAGAAAAAAAAAGTTCATTTTCCCTAAATCACAGACTCCAACATTGAAATGCC